AACTCCAGATACCTAATTGCATGGCCTTTTCTGACTTAGCTAATGAAGTCTCCTCCACATGAAACAACTATTCCACTCACATATGCCTGCTAATATTTTTATTATTGTTTTCTTAAATAAAAGACTTATAAGGCTTTCTTAAATAGAGAAACATAACAATCTAAAGATGTCCATTTTCCTCCAAATTAGAACACATTTTTGACAAGCTGGTAGCAAAACTAAAAGAAAAAGAACTAAGTGGTAATTTCAAATGCAACACACATAAGGTAATTATTTAATCTATGAATAATGGCAGTTTTATTTCTCTTACTCCAATCCTTATATCTTATTTGCTAGGCTAGAATGTTCAGGATTACTAAATAGAGAAAACATCCTTATCTGGCTCCTAATATCAGAAGGAAAGCACTCAAAATTTCACCATAAAACATGAGATTTGCTTATAGGTGTTTTATATATATATATATAAAACAGTCATCAGATTAAAGAAGTTCCTGCTACAACTGATTTGCTGAGTGTTTTTTTAAATAATAAATGGGTATTACAAACCTTTTTTCCTGCACCTTCCCCAAATATATAGTATTAATACCAACTGCTATAGACTGAATGTTTGTGACCCTTCAAAATTCATACGGTTAAAACCTAATCCCCAATGTGTTGGTATTTGGAGGTGGGACCTTTGGGAGGTCATTCGTGTCATTATAAAAGAGAAGCCCTAAGAACTCTCTTGCCCCTTCTGTAAAAGGACACAGTGAGAAGACAGCCATCTATGAACCAGGAAATGGTCTCTCACCAGACGCCGAATCTGCCAGAACCTTGATCATGGACTTACCTGCTCCAGAATTGTGAGAGATAAGTGTTGTTTCTAAATCACTCAGTGTACAGAATTCTATTATAACAGACTAAGACACTGAGTTTAATGAAAACACCAGTATGTTAAGAGTATAAATTGGTATAACATTTGAGAAAAACATTTGGCCTTATATACTAAATTTGTATATATGCATTCCCTACGAAATTCTAATTCCATTGTCTGGTGCAATGCTCACGGCAACAGTATTTGTAATAGCCCCTATACAAAAAAGCGTTAACATAGCAGATCCAAAACGAGTAACCTTAGAAAAGCCTGCAAGATTGAGCCATTGGCTGCTATCTACAAACTTGGCTGATAAACAGTTTCCTACACTGATATAAAACTTTCCCTAACCAAAAAGGTGGAAGCACTTCAAGTGTCTTGTAACAGATATATGAATAAACAAATTGTGGTATATACACACAATGGAATATTATTTAGCCTTTTATAAAAAGGTAGAAAATTCTGACACAAGCTACAACATAGATGAACCTTGAGGACATTATGCAAAGTGAAATAAGCCAGCCATAAAAAGACAAATACTGTATGATTCCACTTATATGAGGTACCCAGATTAGTCAAGTAGAATGGTGGTTGACAGGAGCTGGGGGTAGGAAGGAATGAGGAATTACTGTTTAATGGCATGGAGTTTCAGTTTTGCAAGATAAGAGGTAGATAGTAATGACAGATATACAGCAATGAATATATTTATACCACTGAATTATATACTTTAAGGTGATAAATTTTATGTGTATTTTACCACCTCCTAATAATATCAGCTCTTTTTTTTATATATATTTTTATTGATTTTTTACAGAGAGGAAGGGAGAGAGACAGAGAGTTAGAAACATCGATGAGAGAGAAACATCGATCAGCTGCCTCCTGCACATCTCCCACTGGGGATGTGCCCACAACCCAAGTACATGCCCTAGACCGGAATCGAACCTGGGACCCTTCAGTCCGCAGGCCGACGCTCTATCCACTGAGCCAAAGCGGTTTCGGCGCGCTATATCAGCTCTTTTTAAAAATGAAAAATAAGTGGACATACAAAAGGCCAAGAGACATATGAAAACATGCTCTAAGTCACTAATCATCTGAGGGATGCAAATCAAAACGACAATGAGGTACCATCTCACACCTGTCAGAATGGCTATCATCAACAAATTAACAAACCACAAGTGCTGGTAAGGATGTAGAAAAAAAGGAAACGTCATGCACTGCTGGTGGGAATGCAGACTGGTGTAGCCACTGTGAAAAACAGTAATGGAGTTTCCTCAAAAAATTAAAAATGGAACTCCCATTTGGCCCAGTAATCCCACTTCTAGGACTATATCTCAAGAAATCAGAAACACCAATCAGAAAGGATATATGTACCCCTATGTTCATAGCAGCACAATTTACAATAGCTAAGATTTGGAAACAGCCTAAGTGCCCATCAGCAGATGAGTGGATTAAAAAATGGTGTTACATCTACACAATGGAATAATACGCTGCTGTTAAAAAGGAACTCTTACATTTGCAACAGCATGGATGGACCTGGACAGCATTATGCTAAGTGAAATAAGCCAGTTGGAGAAAGACAAGTATCACATGATCTCACTCATTTGTAGAATATAATCAACAACATAAACTGATGAACAAAAATAGAGCCAGAGACAGAGAATCATCAAACTGTCAAACCTCAGAAGGAAGGCAGGGGAGGGTGGGGTAAGAGATCAACCAAAGGACTTGTATGCATGCATATAAGCTTTACCAATGGACACAGACACTAGGGGGCTGGAGGGTGTGAGTGGCTGGGGAGAATTGAATATGGGGAAAAGGAGACATATGTAATACTTTAAACAATAAAGAATTTTTTTTTAAAAAGGAAAATAAAAAGTTAACCAAAGCATGGCCATTTAAAAGAGATGATTACTATTTATACTTTCAGAGCTAGAAAAAGATGCATGTTTTGGGGCTTCTTTTGGAGGGAGCAAAAGAACATAAGGTCTGTTATTTTTTCTTTTACTACTGAAATAATCTTTAAGCATAGCCTCTACTTAAAGTAATTTGTTGCTGGAACTGTCATAATATTCTGATATCTGCTTTGCTTCCAATTTTGTTCAAACTCTTTTTGACATTTAAGGTCAACTTTATTAGTCTAGATCCAGTAAGGTTTCTTCCATAGTACTGTAACATTTGACCAATAAACACTTTTATTTTTTCAAAACAAAAAACTTGCCCTAATTGATGAGGGTGGTTCACTGTGCCTGGACTATGTTTGCAATCAAGTTGGTTTATGCTGAACAATGGTCTCCTTCTGGGAGTCTGGAATTTGCTAAGTGCTAGGCAAAGAATGCCTATGTGTCCAGACCACAGTAAAAACCTTGGGCACTGAGTCTCTAATACGTGTCCCTGGGCAGAAACATGGCATACATGTTGCTGAATTTTCACTGCTGGGTAAGAGTGAGTTCTGTGTGACCAATCACAGGAAGCCCGCACATGGATTCCTGCAGATTCCAACTGTGTCTTTCTCCCTTATGATCCAGCTGGGTATCCTTATTATGCCTCTGTAATAAATCTTAGTTGTAAGCATGACTCTGTGCTAGGTCCTGGGAATTCTTCCAGTGAACCTCAGTACAAGGGGTATAAAAAGTAGTATAAATTGTGGCATACTCTTACAATAAAACACACAGCAATGAAAATAAACAACCTACAGCTATATTAAACAACAGCGATTGAATCTCAAATGATTAATCATTTACTGCTTTTGCCTTGTATGAAAGTTGTTTTTACCCATACTTGACCAAGAATCATTTAAGGTAGCAGTTCTTAAACTTCGTATTCTCAGAATCCCTCTAATTTATTTGGGTTCCGTCAATCAATTATCAACCCTCTTAGAAATTACGACAGAATTTGAAAAATGTTATTAATCCATTTAAAATAGCTATATTTTCCAAAAAAAATGTAGCGAGAAGAATGGCACAATTGTTACAGTTTTGCAAATCTCTTTTATATCTAGCTTAATAAAAGACAGCTGGGTTCTTCAAGATGCTTCTGCATTTAATCTGTTGCAACATCTTGTATCAAGCAACCTCTAGAAAATTCCATCATACACTCACGAGAGAATAAGAGTGAAAAGGCAAGTAACATCTTAGTATGATTATGAAAATAATTTTTATCTCTTGGAATTTCTAACAGTCTGAGAGAATCCCTGATTACACTCTGAAAAGTGCAACATGAAAGTTTAATACTGTGGTTCATCTTTACCACCTATAGAGGGTAACATGCAGGAGCATGGGGTACTTTCACTGGAAATACATCTTGAAGAATTCAATTTGCAAACTTTGGGAACTGGCAGAACTTCCCTTATCGACACTGAGAGTCAAACCCTACCCAGCTGTCACTGTCAGAAAATCACTCCCTTTTACCATGGGGTCACCACACTTAGTCTAGAAAGAAAAATTGTGTGTACCTCAAAAACTCCAAAGAAACTGTATTTTCATGAGGAGCTGTAGAACACTTATTTAATATTATTTGGTACTATTTATTTAAATCATGAAACTTATAATTTTACAAATTATTCTTCTGAAAATTAAGCTCGATACTTTTCCTTTTTCTCTGGCTTGGAAACAATGCACTAGGCACCAAATATATTAAGTAGCCTGTCGTTAATTTGGTTGAACCTCAGTGGCTTGTTAAAACTCAGTTTTAAGGCATATTCAAAGTTTCTTAATGGAATTAAATCAACAGCATAAGACTATTAGGTAAACATTTGATAACCTTTTTTAAAAATATGCTTTTATTGATTTTAGAGAGAAGAAGAGAGAGGGAGAGAGGGATAGAAGCAACAATGAGAACCATCGATTGGCTGCTTCCTGCATACCTCCTACTGGGGATAGAGCCCACAACCCATGCATGTGCCCTGACAGGGAATTGAACCGTGACCTCCTGGTTCATTGGTTAATGCTCAACCACTGAGCCACACCGGCCAGGCTTGAAAAACATTTTTATACATGATTGAAATGCACAAATTATATTAATAACTAGTTTGTAGATTTTACCACATTGCTACAGGATTGGGAGAGAGCAGAAATATGTACAACTTCTCTGCTGGCTTCAGTTTTGAGCTATATACTCAGGCAACTGTTTTCAGTGATGCTGTACTTACCACCAGTGCTAGAACAAGTGTCCGAACCTTCTCCCCAATCTCAGGTGAGATGTCATTGCCAAACTGTTGTAGAGTGGTGAGAAAGCGTTTTAACTTGCTGAGCTGCCGAGCACCACAGGTGGCTGGCAATTGTTGATTTGTTAGTGCAGATGACGTGGAAGAGGCAGGACCATTGCTGAATCTTTGTGGTGGTGATGGGGCACCATTCAGCGTAGGAGGAGAATGGTTGGTGCCATTGCTTACTAAAAGAAAGCCAAAATGAAAGACTCAATGCAAAACACAAGAATCTTTGATACGTTCTTCTTGTCTGCATTCTCCTTCATTTATTCACTTCAATTTTGTAAAGCATATGGTAAGAGTACACAAGACACTGTTTCTACTCAACAAGATTAAGACATACTGCCAGGTAAAAAAATGATAACAGAGTAACATAGAAGGTGTTAAAACAGAAGAGTAAAGTGCTACTAGAGCACAGAGAAGGACATCTAACTCTACAGGTGCCATGGGCGTGCGTAGGTAGTTTTAAGACTTCCTGCAATAGTACTGGATGAGATAAGTTTGGAAGAATATATTTCCAATGAATGGACACTTGTGTTCATCATTTATGTCACATCTCCTCAATCAAAGAATCTAAGGCAGTCTATTAGAATATAGCATGTGAACAAGACACACCAGAAAACAGTCGTTACTGTGAAAAAGTGTTTTTTCTAGGCTATAGGTTTAATGACTTATTCCTATAGTAAGGTATATATATCTTGGCTATTCAGAATATTCATGCCCATCAGAGTCAGTTTTTCTCTGCTTTGACAGTGCTAGATTAACACTTCCAAATACTCATTCAATAAAGTATTTTTCTAGACACCACACAGGACACTCCCATTCTACATTTCGGCTTAAATTATAATACATGTGATTAGTTTCAGTTTTTCTATTTTCCCATTATTCTTAGTCATATTTTGCTAGTTTTAATTTGGTACACAATCCTAGAGCTAAATTCTTAACAGCATTAAGTAAAAATCTCCTTTTTCATTAAAGAGTGAAATTTTTTAAATTACCTAATGTCTAAGAGTCAATATATTTTCACTTACTCATACCCAATCTAAGAATATAAAGCTGTGTCTAAAAACATAAGAAACAATTTAAGTTAAGACTTAAGCCAAACTTAAAGAACATAATCATTTAACCTTTACCTCACTTAGAAAACTGTCATTTACTTATATTTTGCCTAATGCCAACTTGTTAATCATGAAAAATCTCTCACTTCCCTTCCTCCAAGCCAGTCATAGTTGTTTGACCAACACTATTCCTACTTCTTGAGTGACCTTTATTTAAATATGATCTGTAAACTCTTCTTCATCCAATATAGCTTAAATGACACCTGTATTAAGGATTCATTGAGCCTCTGCCTTAAGGTAGATTTAGTAATTCTTCTATGTGCTACACATGCTTCCATTATGTTATTTACCAAATTATACTTACTTGCATTGCCTTAATATATAGCACACTTTTAAAAAATATTTTTTATTGATTTCAGAGAGGAAAGGAGAGAGAGAGAAACATCAATGATGAGAGAGAATCATTGATTGGCTGCCTCCTGCATGCCCCCTACTGGGGAGGGAGCCCACAATCTGGGCATGTGCCCTGATCAGGAATCGAACCCTGACATCCTGGTTCATAGGTCAACACTCAACCACTGAGCTACACCAGTTGGGCTATTGTATACTTCTTGATGAATATTCTTACATATCCATGTATACTAAAATTAGCTAAGTTTTGGGAGCTGTGTATACTGTATATACTTTAGCTTTGTTCATTAGCTAGTAATATTAAGTGTTCAGGAAAATTCTGCTGAATATGACTCACTGTAAGCAGACTAACAGGCTAAGAAAAAAAAGGGTGCTTTCTCTTCTAAGTCTTTCATTAAAAAGATCACTAGAGCCACTGGAAAGAAAGCTCAACACTCAGCCTTAGCAATCCTGAAAATTAGTTGCAGTGGTCTGCCATTTCTTTGTGTTCACAGAAAAGTCAACTGCCACTGGAGAGCTGCCCTCTTTTGAAGCAGCCCATTAGAATAATACATTATTGTGCTTTTAGCCACTCTGATGCCCAGACAAGCTTTTTCATGGCCTCTTTAGTGAAAGCTTATGATTACATTTTCTGAAATCAAACATGTCCACCCCCAAGTAGTCAAATATGGAGGTAAAAAGGACCAAACTTATATATACATATCTCCACCTGTATCTTGAAATCTGAATGGTAGCTTGGGTTTAAATCTGTTTCATTTCAAGATAGTACTGATATCTACAGTGTATAACTTTGAGACAGAAAACATAATTTAAGAAAAAAAAATATCAAAATTTATTTCTTTCAGTCTGGCTCAGACTGCTGCAGATACCACTCACTCAATTTCAAATGTTTGAGAAAATAAAAATTAAAGCTTCTATTAAAGCTGTACCTCTTAGACTCCCTTCTCTTATTGTTAAAAATAATTTACATAGAAAACATAAATGTTTAAGCAAAAATAGTGTGCAAGCTTGTGTAATGGTGTTTAAATAAGAAAATGCATATAGCACCTAGTACATTGCTCTAATTTAATATGAATGGGTACTACCCAAATAGACATTTTCTGCTATATGAGGCCAAATGTCTGTAAGGGTCAATGTGAACTGGATGTGGCATGGGCATGGAAAAGCAGAACACAAATTAAAATCTAGATGTGTGTGTATCTCTCTCTAGATTTTAGATTTTAAATTGAGGGTTTTTTGTTTTGTTTTTTAAATATGTATGTAGGACTGAATTTGCTGAGTTATAAAATTTGTGGAAATTCAGCTTTAGAAGATACTGCCAAACAATTTCCTCATATTTAAACAATGTATGAGTGTTCAGGTTGCTCCACACATACTCACCAACACTTGACAATCCTTTTCACTTTGAACATTCTTGTGGGTGTACAGGGTATTGCACTAGGTTTTAGTTTGCATTTCCTTGATGACTACTTAAGTTGAATGCCTCAGATTTATTGGCTAATATAATTCTTATTAGCTGAATTGTGTCCCCCACAAATTCCCATGTTGAAGTTCTAACCCCTCAGTAACTCAGAATGTGACTATATTTGGAGATAGGACCTTTAAAGGTTAATTGAGGTCATATGGGTAGTCCCTGGTCCATTATGACTGTTGTCCTTAAGAAGAGAAAGAGACAACATGAATGAGTTGGCACAGAGGCAAGGACATGGGAGAATATAGCAAGGAGGCAACTTTTGCAAGCTAAGGACAGAGGTCTCAGGGGGGAAAAAAATCAAACCTGCTGACATCTTGATCTTGGACTTCTATCCTCTAGAACTTTTAAAAAATAAATTTCTGTTGTTTAAGCTACCTAGTCTGTAGTATTTTGTTATGACAGCCCTAGCAAACTAATATAATATTCTCTTTTTTATAGAGACTTAGCATGACAGTCCTGGAAAACTTTTAGAAATAATTCAATAACTTTATGAATCTTACTTTAATTCCTATAAATCAATATAACTTTAATTCATTATTTTAGAACTCAAGAATTTAAAATACCTACTTCCCAGACAAAGAGTATGAAAAAAAATATTGGGACTACTAAATTTCCAAATGCTCAAATTAGCTAAGTACTATTCTCAGAGGGGAAAAGCAATTTATAAAAGAAATAACCAGATATATGTTTCTGATATATATCTCTTTTAATAGTCATTTTGGAAATCTTGTGAATGGTATATGCAGAAGGCTTACTGGGAGTCAGTCACATAGATACAAATGTCACTCTGAATTATAAACTAAAGTAATTAAGAGTTCTCACATGCTGTAGGAGTAAATGACATTGGCCTGGGTCCTCCGGGATTTATTGGTGGGAGGGGTGGCATGGTGGGAGGTGAGGATCTTGACTGTATCTTCACTTCCACAGGCGATCCAGGCATTGCTGGCACCCTTTTCTCAGGACCAACTGTAGAAAATAAAAGAGATAGAGGTCAGAGTTTTCTATAAAATAATAAAAATAGTGACAATAATTTGAAATACTAACATACCAGTATTTTCCTAGAGGACTGAGAAGAAAATGCTTAGTTTAACAGACTGAATAGTGATCCCCAGAAAGATATCAAACCTCTTAACCCCTTGAATTGTAAATGTTTCTGTACTTGGAAAAAGGGTCTTTGAAAATGTAGTTAAAGACTTTGAGAGGAGGAGATAATCCTGGATTATCTGGTGGGCTCCAAATCCAATATAAATGAAACCCTCATAAGAAGAGCTGAAGAGATGCATACACAAACAGAAGACAACGTGAAGACATAGTCACACAGAGAGGACAGAGTGACAATGGAGGCAGAGACTGAATGATGCATCTACAAGCCAAGGGATGGCAAGGATTATCAGCCAGCATGAGAAACCAGGAAGAGAGGCATGGAGTCGATTCTTCCTCTGAGGCCCCAAGAAGGAATCAGCCCTCCTGATACCTTCATTCTAGACCAGTGATGGGAACCTTTTGAGCTCGGCGTGTCAGCATTTTGAAAAACCCTAACTTAACTCTGGTGCCGTGTCACATATAGAAATTTTTTGATATTTGCAACCATAGTAAAACAAAGACTTATATTTTTGATATTTATTTTATATATTTAAATGCCATTTAATAAAGAAAAATCAACCAAAAAAATGAGTTCGCGTGTCACCTCTGACACACGTGTCATAGGTTCGCCATCACTGTTCTAGACCCTGGCCCCTGGACTATGAGAAGATTGTTGTTTAAGCCACCCAGACTGCGGGACTTTGCTACAACAATCCTAGAAAACTACAACAAGGCAACAAGGTCAAAGATTGAAAGTTAACAGTGAGGACAAGGGCTGGGAAAGAAAGAAACCACTTTATAAATTCTGCTGATCCCAACTACATTCTGTATAACTTCTCTTTATGGATGAATCAAGGTAATAAGGGGGGAAAACTAATGGGGAACTATTTAGATCAGTAGGTGTCAACTGCATGGCATAGAAACAAATATAATCCGTTGTATATAAATTACTATGCATGAAGTACTAAATTTTTGTTGTTGTTGCTAATCCTCACCCAAGGATATTTTTCCATTGATTTTTAGAGTATGGAAGAGAGGGAGGGGGGGAAACATCTATAGAAATATTGATGTAAGAGAGAGACATTGATTGGTTGTCTTCTGCAAACAGGATAGAACCTGAAACCTAGGTACATGCCCTTGACTAGGAATCAAAGCCAGACCCTTCGGTGTATGGGTGGACACTCTAACCAGCAAGCAACACTGTCCTGGGCTAAAGCACTAAATTTTTATACATATCAACTATTCTAATAGAAAAAAAGAAGTCAAAATTTTTGACATCAGGCATATAAATGTCGCTTATAATATCTGTTCAAAAAGATGAAAAATAGAGATGATTCTAAACCAGGGGTGGGCAAACTTTTTGACTCGAGGGCCACAATGGGTTCTTAAACTGGACCGGAGGGCCGGAACAAAAGCATGGATGGAGTGTTTGTGTGAACTAATATAAATTCAAAGTAAACATCATTACATAAAAGGGTACGGTCTTTTTTTTTTTTAGCTTTATTCATTTCAAACGGGCCGGATCCGGCCCGCGGGCCGTAGTTCGCCCACGGCTGTAAACCAAGCACAGGCTACTTCACCTATGAGGATAATACATAAGCAGTGTTTGATAACACTAGACAGCAACAAATTCCAGAAAAGATAAATTTGATAGATTATACTTAATTACATTAGAATTAGGTCTGAGATATAAATAAGACTTGAGCCCTAGCTGGTTTGGCTCAGTGTACAGAGCATCAGCCTGCGGACTGAAGGGTCCCAGGTTTGATTCCGGTCAAGGGCATATACCCGGGTTGCGGGCTCGATCCCCAGTGTGGGGTGTGCAGGAGGCAGCCAATCAATGATTCTCTCTCATTAATGTTTTTATCTCTCTCTCCCTTTCCCTTCCTCTCTGAAATGAATAAAAATTATTAAAAAAAGATTTGCTTCTGAAGAGCAATATTTTAATATATTCAAAGTAATTTTCCATATTAAAGGGAATTTGTTATATACATGGTTAATAATAGAGCCAAGGCTACCATAATCATCTTTAAATTGAGCTATTTGCCTCTCAGTAATTCAAAGCTTTTCACTTAAGTTTCATGTACTTATTCTCCAATAAATCCAAGTCAAGTACAAGAAATGGACACCAAAGGTTCAAATGAGAATGTTAAATCAAAGATTTCTTTCAGTGGCATCACAGTTGTAAACACAACACATACAAGAGCATTCATGACAAGGCAATAGGCACATCTTCACACATTCATGCGCATGGTCTAATGAGGAAAATATCCCCAAATAATATTTTTAATGCTTCAGTTTGCCACATTTTTGGGAAGAAATATAACGAATACAGAAAGTCAATCAAGGAAGCAATGCCCCTAAATTGCAAATTCCCCAACAAAAATGTGCAGCTCTCCAAGAGCCATGTGGGCAACACTCTGCCAGCCTTCCCCCTCTCTCTGTCCAGGACATTTTCTTTGTAAAATTGATGGTTGTCCTGTCTGATTAGTGGACTAATGAGCTGTTGCGCTTGCCTTTTTCTTTTTGACAGTATTTTCTCAATGCCCTTCGGAGAAAAGTTGACACATTTCCAGCACTTCCATCTGGGGCCCAGCTTTCTGGAGGATTGGGGGGTGCGGGGGATAGGGAAGGAAGGAACTGACAGTTGTCTCGCACTGTTATGTGTTGTGTATGGTGTGCAATAACCTAGAGGGTGCCTTTCTTCAGACCACCTGCCTTTACAGCAAGGGCGCCAAAGGCCTGAGGAAGGCTTAGCAATGAGATGTGTTTTAACATTCAGTAATTGGCAGAATGAAAAACTCAGAGCCGCCCAACTGCAGAATGCTAAATAATATACCAACTAAAAGCTTAGATACTGGGTAAAATTTAGCCCCCAGAGTACTATTTACAGATTAAAACTACCCATTTCTTGTTCAGGTCACTTTTCACAAACTTGCAACACTAGTTCTTCCTCATGTTTCAAGCAATGAAAAAGCATGAGTACAGAGACTGAGAGATTTGCTTTGAATACTCATTCTGTTACTAATGAATTTTTATCAAATAATTAAATATTTTTGGGCCTTATTTTCAACACTAGTAGCTCGGTGCATAGATTCATGCACATTGAAAGGAAATTAATTACAATAAATATTTTAATATCGCTATCCGCTCTTTCTCTATAATAGAAGTGTCAAAGACTAAAGAAAATTAGTAAAATGTATATGAAAATAATATATAAATTGATTAATAAATAACAATAACAACAATAAAGACATGATATAAAAACAACATTGATAAAAACGACTGGTAAATTGATTAAACTTATTCTAAAATATCCCTGTATACCACATTAACTGTAAAAACACCTTCAGAGTGCTTGACTAATTTCCCTTGTATTAGTCAAGGGAAGTATTTACAAATTTAACTTTAACGTCACACACTCTTCGAACTCGAGAGAAAGCAACATATAACTGACCATGTCCGAAAACGAGTTCAGGTAGGACTATTCCTCTCTGTCTAGAGTTTGTCCTTGTGATTTATTAATAGTCATTGCAAATGCTGGCACCACAGGAAACTGTCTTCGAATTAATTTAAATGGGAGGCCAGTGTCAGACGGGAACAAATCAATTCTTGGAATTAGAACAACCTCTCCTTCCACAGATCCTGTTAATACTTCAGCTTCGATTATGTTAGGTCACAATCTTGTGATAATAAATCTAGTACCATTACAAAGACCCCATTTACTATTAAGATTTCCCAGTAGCATGATGATTGCACCTACTTTCCATTTTAATTTATGACACGGCATTCCCGAAGGAGTAATACTATTAAGAAATTCGATGGGAACATTTTCATTTTTGGCATCATCTGCTGAATCAATGGAATCATCACACAAAGAGGTGTGAAAATCTCCACTGAGTATATCCAAAATTTCTTCATTTAATTTATGAACGTACTCATTTTTTGGACAAAGAATCGCATGTTTAGATATATTTTTAATATTATCTATAGATGTACTATTTCCAAAGGTAGCTTTAACAATAGATCTGTTACAAATCATTTCACGGCGTATTTCAATAATATCCATCCAAGAGCTTTATATGTATTGCGCATGCATAAGTCAACATTTATTTTTAAACTAGAGGCCCGGTGCATGAAATTCATGTGGTGTGTGTATGTGTGTGTCCCTCAGTCCAGCTTGCACCCTCTCCAATCTGGGACCCCTCAAGGGATGTCGGACTGCCCTCTCACAATCCAGGACTGCTGGTTCCCAACTGATCGCCTGCCTGCCTGCCGTACTGGCCCTAACCATTCCCCTGCCAGCCTGATTGATGCTTAACTGCTCCCCTGCCGGCCCTATTGCCCCTAATTACCCTCCTCTGCCGGCCTGGTCACCCCTAACTGTCCTCCCTTGCAGGCCATCTTGTGTCCACATGGGGGTGGCCATCTTGTGTGTTGGAGTGATAGTCAATTTGCATATTATTCTTTTATTACATAGGATTGCCAGTGCGTGTCATATATACCGGCCGGCTGGTCGGTCAGACGGTCAATCACTTAGCCTTTTATATATATAGATAGGAAAAGTGAGAGATAAAACCTACCTGGCAGGAAAGATTTAAGGATTTGAGATAATGTTTAGACTAATGCTAGGTAAAAAGAAGGTACTCAATACACAGCAAGGATGATTAGAAAACATGAAGACCAGTGTCAAGTTCTGATTTTGCCATTTAACTAGCCATGTGAATATGCCCAAGTTAATATTAACATTTATTTTCCATGGGAAAATAGGTTTACTTTCAACAATATTAATCCATCTAATGTCAGAGATGTTACATGGAATGATCCAAAACTTAGCAGTTATAAAAACACCAAATACAATGTAAGATGGTATTTTTGTTGGA